CTATCAAGAATTTTATATAAGCACTTCAAAAATTGTGACTTTTAGAAGTCTTATCTTCTAAAAGCTCCCACTTATAAAAAGCATACTTATATTATTCACAAATAATCATACAACAATAATTCAAGTAATTTCATTAAATGAAATAACACACTTAGTCTGTTTACAATGCATGAAACCACAAACTTAATATAACAAACGTCAATAAAGCGAATACAAATATTGCATCATTTGATATGAACATAAAGGTAATCAAGCATTGCTTTCCTCAGTTTCCTACGTTTGCGTGTATTGGTCATAAAGGATGATACTAAATCTATAGCCCAGATCCAGTAAAATTTCCTTATGGGTTTTCCTTTAGGTCTACCTCTAACCCCTATTGCTCTTATGTACTCCATTATGACTTTAAGGTAGAATTCGATATTCTTCTTATTGGTCATGTAATGGATGTAACTGGCGAGCACACTATTGATACCTTTTATGTTTGTCAGTCTGGCTACATCTCTTTCAGCTATACTCATAGCTAAAGCAGGGGTACAAGGTTGATTCACCTTTCTCCTTCCTCAACTTCAGTTTCATTAGGAAGATCTAGTGAATCATTAAAGACCAAGTGAGGCTCGGTACGGAGGGGTTCAGTAGGGAATAAAGATTCCGACTAAGGTCCAGAATCCATTAACTCCTCTGGGTCTTCTTGAGGAACCTCTTCAGGATCCTCATCCTCTGGTTCATATTCTGGAACTGCATCATCCATGTATGAGTATTCCAATAAACCATCTTTGATATTTTCAGTGCTACTAGAAGCCTCTTGCTTCATTTTTACTTAGAACAAAATAATTTAAATTATTTTGAATATTCTGGAATTTATTTCTGTATGAAAATACTAGAAAATACACTGAAAATACTCACAAACAAATCCTCAATTGTCTCAAAAATTAGCAATTATATATCAAAATGAAGATATTGATTTTAGGGATTTTTAGAAACAAACCACACCTCAAACGGACCTACCACGTGCCTACACGCACCCCTAGAAGAATAAATGCTGCGAAAAATGAAAAAAAAATTTGCCCACTCGCGCTGTCGGCGCGTGTTGTGCAGCCGGCCGCCGGCAACACACGCCGTTCCGGTGGCCTCCACTCGCCGCCATGCAGCCGACTGTCAGCAACACACGCCGTTCTGATGGCCTCCACGTGCCACTACCAGTCAGGTGGTGGCGCCCACGTGTCCAGATGGAATGCCATGTGGCGGCACGCGCCACGTGGCAATTCTGGACCCAAAAAAAGTTTTTTTAATAAAAAACGTGTTTTTTTTTAATCACTGAAATGGGTTTTTTGGGTAATTAGGTTAGACCGGGTTGGGGCGGGTCGACCCGATCCAAAGGCAGACCTAGGCCTGCATCAGTTTTTTTTTTTAAATTCTGTTGGTTTTTTTTCTTCAGGCTAGATCCTGCTCCTGGCCTAGATTCCTTTTTTTTTTTTAACAGGGTGCCAAAACAACGTCGTTTTGGCCCCTTGGAGGTTGTCTTTAACCTCCAGCCAAGTTGCTTGACCTGGCTCTTGCAACTGGGTCGGGTCCGTCGGATCCGAAACCTTCTCTCCTTCGTATCTTCGTCGTCCGGTGTCTGTTTTTCATGTACTTCATATCATTTTCTTTGTTTTTTCGTCCTCTACACAATGGGATATATTTTGAAGCCTAAAAACTTGATTTTAAGCAAACCCAAAGACAAACAAGGGAGATGGCCGAAAACGTTTTCGATGTTAAACAGATTTCATGGAGGCAGAGAGAAAATCCAGTATTTCTACTTATAAATATAAGTCAGATATTAATCATACTGAAAATAAATGAAAGGGTTTGCATAGTATATTGAAACAAATCACAGGATACTAAGAACCGAAAAACAGAAAAAAAAGAACACTGATATAAAACGAAGGCCACAGAATGACACCAACAAGAAATATAAACCTATGCTTTGATACCACTGACGAATTCGGGCGTACCTGAAGTGTTGAATGATCTCAAATTCAGATAGCCATGTGCGGAAAAGGTCTGATCACGATGTTGGAGTCAGACTGTATGTTTCACAGCAAATGCACCGAAGGGAGTTTTTTAGAACACAGAACGGAGGGAGGAGAGTGAAAACAAAATCAGGATGCACACTGAACTAATCCCTCTTCGGTTTTCTAACTGCATGTTTTTGAATTGAAAGAAAACTGCCTCCTCCGTCCAACCGTTCCTGCTTTTTTTGGCAAAATATATGAAAAAGCAAAAATCACAGTTAGAGACCCATAAGTTTTGCTATTCACACTGGAGCCCTAAATCTCAATGGGCCTGGGTCCAATCCACCAAGGGTGGACTGGCCCATTTTCTTACACAAGCCTTTAACTGGTTCCCCTTAAACAAATGTGAGCTTTCGTGATGAATTGGACAGAGCTGAAGTGCAACCTGATTCGCTCTTTTCATCTGTCTTGATGTGGTAATATGCATGATATTGACGACTCTGAAGCAATATCAGAGTGTTGTTGAGTATATTGAGCATTTTGGGTTGATTTTTGCAACCCAGTTACTTGCGACAAGTATGTGTTAATCGCTGTTTTTCTGAATGGGTTGAAGCTCGAAATCAAGCGGATTTGCGATTGCCCAAGCTTGGGACACTTGCATAATAAATGGACATGGCTTTTCAATTAGAGGAAATAAATGGGGTTTTGACTCGTTGCTATAACCCACATGCTATTTGGCCTTGGAAAAAGCGGACTGAAGACAAAATAGTAGTTGGGGTAGCTCCACACACTTGACTTATTTACCCGATACTAGAAAATTCGTAGTGTCTCCCGTGATAAATACTACCAAGGCTGCGGAGACAAAGACAATGGGTGAATCGAACACGACTTTAATACTAATTACTTATACCTCCAAATTGGCTCCCAAGAAATATACGAATGCTGAAATTGAGCAAAGCACAAGTTCAGTCTTTGTTTCAAATGTGATGAGAAATATCCTAGGCATCGTTGCAAGAAGAAACAACTGCAAGTGTTAACCATGTTTAAAGAGCCATCTGAGAAGGATGATCATCCGCTTGAACCCGTCATCCATGAACACTTCGACCATGAAGTTCAAACTAACGCTGAGATGACCACTGACGAGCTTATGTCTCCTTTGAACGCTTTGGTCGGCTTCACCGGTGGTAAGACTATTAAGCTAATGGGTTCTCTGTGGTAAGAAGGTTTTAATTCTTATTGATTATGGTGCTACCCATAGTTTTGTTCATAATGATTTAGCCCTTGCTCTCTCGTTACCTGTGGACTCCAACAATGCTTTTACTGTTTAGGAAATTCCGAATTGGGTTGCTTGACCTAACTTAAAATTTTTTAAATTTAGGAACCTAATTTAGGATTTGAGTATTTCAAAAGGCTTTTAATGGAATTTTCCTAAATAACTAATTATTAAATGCATTCATGTTAAGGTACAAAAAACCAAACCGGGCACTCAATTTTCAAGGATCAATGGTCAGAACAGGATCAACTTAGGGTCAAACCTATCATATTAAAATAATGCATTTTTATTCACAATAACAAAAAATAACAATATTAATAATAATTAACAACAAAATATAAGAAAACACAACAATAATTTAACTTTAACAAATAACAAAATATAACAATATTGAAGATATTTATTCTTACAATACTTCAATCACTAAAATTAAAAATATTATATTTCTTCATAAGATTTTTTAATAAAAAATATCTTTTAAACAACTATTACATATATTTAATGTAATAAAGGAAGTCCATTAACCTCTGTTTTCTTTCCCTGGGCTTTCCCTTTGATTTTTCAATTATATAGGACCTAATTATTGAGCTGATTTTTGTCCTAAATATAAAAACTATTTCTCATATTTATCAATTTTTCCTAAATTATTCTTATGGATACTCCCTCAATCATAATTGAGTAGAAGAGGGAAGGAGGATATTAAGGAAAATGATTATGGCGTTTTAAGAAAAATATGTCATATTTCTTATAATTAACTTACTTACCTAATTTTTTAATCTAATTAAATTAGTTAAATATATCTTATATTAAGGATTAGAAGAGTATTTTATAATGAGATATAAAAAGATCAAGGCTTTGAAAAATGAAAAAACTAGTCCTGCCATATAGATGCATAGGCTTATTAGTACTTTAGCTTACCCCCATCTTTTCACTTTGTTTTTCAAAGACAGAGTACTCTAAGCTTTTCTCCTCCTCCTCCTTTGATGGTTCAGGAGGCAAAATGAGTAGACGGTCCAAACCTCTTGACTGAATCGAGAAGGTGAAGTGATCCGATCTGGCCTTCAAATAACTACTTACAAGTGTTGTTGAAATTTATTTATCACTTAATAAATTACTAAGATGGACATATTTTTTGTCATTTAATTTAATTTAAAACTACATTAGAAACTGTTTAAATATTTAATTACATAATATTATAAACTGTGCATATTATTCATTGATTAACTAGGAAAAAATTATCTAAATTGTAGGGAGAATCTCATTCAAGGCTCCATAAACAACATAATGGGATCCAAGGCCTAAACGAATCTGAAATTCTTCTACATTCCAAGTAGAATAAATAGAAAATCATTTTAGATGTGAAAACCAAAATTTAGAGTTAGCTTGCTGTTTCCCATGATGCAATACATAGGTCACTCTAGTATTCAAAATTTAGGGATAAAAATTAATTGATGATTACTTTTCAATAAAATGTCATACTAAATAATTTGTAGGTACCATAATTTTCTTGCTAAAACAATATTTATTAAGTTATATGTATTAGGATATACAAAAGAAGTTATGTCTATAGAGAGAATGAACTAACAAGCCGTTAATTAAAGTGATAAGCAGCCTCATTCTTGTAAGAATCATTCTTGTAAGAAACAGAACACAAATTTGAATCTTAAAAAATATAATTGTTGGGAGAAGCGAAAAACCTTTGCACCTAAGCCTCAAAAGAAAAATCCTTAATCAAATCAAATGAAGAGAGAATGAAAGATTTGTATAATAATAGCAATAATTGTTTTGTTTTTTGCTTCTTTTTTTTTTTGGGTTCACAGCACAAAGTAGCATTTTACATCTCACAAATGGGGGTGCATGGACAGAAGTGACATATAGTGTTGACCCAGACATTGGGTGTGTAATGTGGACGTAGGAGCATAAATTGAAGTTCAACAACCACTTGGAGAAATAGAACCCGAACTGAAAGCGGGATGATACAATCATAGTTTATTCGGAAACATTCAAAGCCTGGCTTCTCAAGGGAAATTGTAGGCACCCTCCACGTACTTCTTATAATTGATTGGATTCTTCATGAAGTTGGCAAATTCAGAGGCATATGAAGCTCTCTTGATTCCAAAATACTCACCCCACCAACGCATGAAGCTACTTCCGTCCAAGAAAATCTCCGGCGAAACAGCATAATTCTTCAGCAACTCATAAACATACTTCTCAAACTCATCTAAACTACTCATAGCCTCTTTCTTCTCCACCTCACTAGCTGCAGCCTTTACTTTTTGGCACAAAATAAGAGCCTCTTCGACATGTGCCCAAAAGCAAGAATCCAATGTCAATATAGATTCTACATTATTCGTCCTACCTGTAGATTGAGATTTCTGGTCATTTTCCAACCACTTCTCCAGCTGTTTATAATGCTCAGATCTTCCTTGATTTATGTAGTCTCTTTTTCCATCCTTGTAGTAACGAGCAACGTCTAATGGTTCGACCATCCTTCTGTAATTGGTCCCGGCATAGAGCCATCGTGTGCGAAAAGTAGCACCTTCTTTCTGGGGTTGCTTCTCTGCCTCTTCTACCATTTCTTTCCAGTAATTATTGAGCTCTCTAATGAACCCGACAACGTCATGGTCAGCCGTAGATAAGTGATCCTTAAACCTATCATAGTACCCTGCTCCCGTCTTTGAAATCTTCTTGTACCATTCCAATTTGGCCATATTTGTTTTCATTTCATCCAACTTCTTGTTTGGGATAAACCGTTTCTTTTGTTTTAGCAATTCCTGCTTGTTCAGTTCTTCTACCAGATTCTTCATATCAGTTTCCTGAGGCATCAATTTCAAAATGTCGATTAGATGGATTCCTCATCAGTTTAATTCGTTTATGCATAAAAGTCGTAGAATATTTTCTGAAAAGAAGGAAAAAAATAGATTTTCCATGATATTACTCTGCGGTCTTAAATGCATGGGCTAACTTAGATATTTATTTTGGCCACAAATTTAAGACTTCATTTCAATTTATTTACCAAATCTATATTCAGCGCTAATATAAAATGAATTTTTACCAATCAGGGTAGTTTCCAACCCTCATAATTAAATGGAGAATTCTAAGAAAACCAAACAAATAACTAATTTTACCAGTTCATATTAATTTTCTGAGAAGGAATATAAGTAAAAGTTGAAGCACCTGGAGCAGATGAGGAAATCCCAGAGCACATAATTGCAGAGCGAGGCTTTTCTGGAGAAGATTAGAATGAGAGATGTTGGGACAATCAGAGTCTTTGCAAATTGCGTTACGATAAAGATTCTCCACAATACTTCCATAATCACAATTCTGCAATCCTTGATTCAGTTGACTTATGAGATTTAGAAGCCTCAGAACAGAAACAGGGCTTTCAAAACAACAAGAGCCAAAATCAGAGCACAACAGAAATATTCCAAAGGGACTGTACGAATGGTTGGAAATTGAGGAGGAAATCAAACGATCCTGAAGAGAGGCTACATGCAAAAAACAAGAGTTCAAATTAGAACTTTGCGACATAGCTTGTTGAAACATTTGGTCTCCAATAAGGGGAGAACCAAACGTGACGCAGAGGGGACGCTTGTCTTTTGTTGGCTCCATCTTCTCTAATAGCCATAAAGTGAAAAGAGAAGCAATGGCTCCTCCGACAGCATGCCCAGTAACAATCACTGGCCTTTTGAGATCAATCTGCATCATTCAGCAAAAGCCCCACACTTAAGTATCAATCTCACTTCAGAAAATTTTTTTCTTTCTTGACTAGTTCTACATGTTCTTGAAGGAAATAAAGGAGAAGTACGTACCTGGGATTTGAGTTCATCAAGCTAGGTTCCATATGCATTGAAGAGGGAAAATGCAGAGTGATTGAGGGAGAAGATGGGGTTGGTTTTGGAACAGATAAATTTGAAGGGGTTGTCGTTCGAGAAAGGAAGCAAATCGGGTTGAACGTGGTTTTGGTTAGTCCCAAACGTTATAATGGTCAAACCTAATTCGTTGCTAACTATTTTCCAGAACAGGTTCTGGTTTGAATGGGTTTCTGCGTACAGATCTGAGATAAGTTTCCACAAAGAGATGAGAATGCCAGAGCTGACAACAGAAGAGGCAGACTCTAATCCACCACTGAATCTGCAATAAAAAAAGAACGGGGCATTTAAGTCAAGAAGTAGCAAGAAGTCGAAGTAAATCTCTAAGGAAAAAGGAACCAAAAAAAGTAAAGTTGAAATTCACATACACTTTGGCTTGGTTATGCGTCATGCTGAATCGTCAGATTGTTCAAGAGAAAACTGGAAGTGATGATCTTCTATGCTTCTGACGAAGAGAAGATGCTTGTGAGGCTCCTTTATACAAATCAGATGAAACTTACACAGGAAGGAGGGTTTGATAGCTACATAGGAAATTCACTGGAAACTCCAAGTCAACACGCGGGTCTCAAAGTCTTCTCGCGTTATTATCCTTTTTCTAAGGAAAAAAAAATCAATATCAATAAGCAATGTATATTCTGAAAATAATGACCTTCACTTTATGAAAAATATTAAGGGCTGTTTGGTAATAATTGAGGAACGAAATGGTGAAGAAAAAAATAAAGAGAAGAGAGAAAAGAAAAGGTTATAACACACACTATCTTTGGATACAGAGTAAATTAGAGATAACAAAAATTGAGGGACACAAAATATGGAAGGAAAAAAAAAGTGAAGAGATATTATTATCCCTCTTTCTGTTTGGAAAGAGGGGAGAAAAGATAGAGGAGAGAAAATGCATCACATTTACAATGACAATAACATTTTTGCTTAATTTTTAATCCATTTTTGTAAATAATGTCATGCAAAATAAATTCAAATAAAAAAAGGACACCATCAAATTCAAAATTAAAGTTAAATTTAAATCAAAACATTATGCATGATATATTTCATTTTCTATTTATTTTATTCTTTATGCTATTGTTTGTTATCACTAGATTTAATGTTTTTTTTAAAAGAACAACCGGATGCATATCATAAAAAAATCTGTACTAATGATGCCTACAAATTTGACAAGGAATATAAAAGTTAATACACAGTTTTTATTATTTATTCAATCCAAAAAAATTGTTTTTTATTATCCCTTTATAAAAGTTAATAAATAGTTTTCTTAAATCTAAAAAATATTTTATTATCCCTTTTCAAATCTTTAAATAAATTTTAAATTAAAAATTTTGAAGAAATTTTGAAGAAAGCCATGAATAGTGAAACATCCATGATTTTTACTCTCCTCTAGTATGCATTCGGATGCACTACAGTTCAAGCGAGTCATTAATTAAGCTTGTATATTAAACTCTTACATTTTAATTGTTGGGTTACTATTTATTTGGTAATTCTAGATTTTTTATCCAAGTTTAAAAATTCACAACTTATTATAGAAAAATCTTATTGAGTTTATTCAAGTTTTCATTTAAAAATATTTTAATTCTCTATAGGTATCAAATACTCATTGGGTCATTTTCTTGCTCATTTGATATAAAAAATACATGAAATGGTACTACTCATATAATCAAAATAGTATTTTATAACTTTTCTGCTTTAACTTTGAATAATCATAACTTTCAGTACACACATCCATTTTAGGTGATTTACCACTCATTTTGAAGCTCAGGATATGTACTAGTTATTTATAAAATTTCAAAGGCAGAATCATTCGTTTACATTACTTTTATTCTCCCTCGAATTCATGACTTTATGTCACATCCAGAAATTTTATAACTAAGAGTAAGGAAATTCCTAGACATTTAAGGGTCAGAATAATGGAAAAAAATATGAAAATTTGGAAAAATATGTTAGAAATTTCCAAATTTTAGCAAATAATTATGGAAGGTAGAGAGAAGATCCCTAGACAGTTTTCTAGGCTCAAAAGTTGAGATTATGATGGAAAGCAATGATTATTTAATTTTCAGTAATTATTGAATATTAATGAATTAGGAAACATTGGTCAAAATTAATTATGAAAAATAGTTTTGAGCCTTAGAAAATTAAGAAAAAATAAGGATAAAGTGTCTTGGAAATTATAAGATATTGTACAAGTGGTTTTATTCCCAAAATACCCCTGGATAATCTTTAAGGGAATTTAAAGACCAATTATGCTAATTAGGCTTTTATTTGGGAAAATTCCAAATAAATACTTATGAAGCTAGATAAATCCCAAGAAAATTTATGAAACTTTTATGAGATCAATAACAGGTTATGAAATAATTAGAAAGGCTTTTAAGAGCCCAAAGACCCAAAAAAGTAACTCCCGAGTAAGAAAACTAATATAATAAGAAAAGTAGTTTTCTTTTCTATTAATGATACAAATTCATTATGGGAGCAAACGAAGGCTCTTTAGGAAGGGAAAATTGATAATAAAGTGTTAAGGATCTAAGAAATTTATTAGGAGGTTCAGATCACTGATATAGAAAAAGACAGAGCTATTTCAGTGTAAAAAGGGTGCTAAAAAAGGTGAAAAGTACACATCTTTTTACTTGGCCCTCATTGTGCCGCCTGTCAAGCTAGGGGTGGAGAGGATTTTTACTTCTAAAATCCATTTCTTTTGGAATTAAATTCGAGAAAAAAAAATGCAAGAAGAGATCTTAGCTTGACACATCATCAATGTAATTTCCTTGAACTTAGATGGCATTTAATTAGCTCAAGGCTTACAAATAGAGCTCTTCCCCTCTCACAAGACACCATTTTCGGCCAACACTAGGGGAACCTTTTGCAAAATTTTTCTTGAAGTGTAATCAAGGAGAAGCTTGAAGATTTGATCATATAAGGTTGCATCCAAGGTTAGTTTGATGTTCTACCTTGTTTATTGATTAGTTTCCTTAAGTTTTATGGTTGAAATTGGTGGTTTCTCCTTGGCTTGGGTGCTGGCCGAATTGTGTAAAGGTTGGGGGAGAAAGAATATGATGTTAAACCTAGGTTAAATGCATGGATTACAAGTTGTTTCAAGTAGTTTTACATGATTATGGAATAAAATTCATGTTAAGAAACCTACATGTATATTTAAGCCAAATAGTGATTGTGCCCTAGCATGAGATTTTGCATGTTTTGATGCTTTCATTGGCTTTAAAATGAAGTTTTGTTAGGGTAAACCTAAGTCATAAGCTTTGGAATGCATTAAAATGAAATTGGATATTGAAGGGTCCAAATCACTACCTCTCGGCCAAAGTAAGATCATTAGGGAAGAGAGGTGTTTTGAAAGTTATAAGCTCATATTTAGATTCTACATGAAAAATTATGTCGGGTTGACCTAATGGGATAATTTTTAGGTTGTTGAAAATTAATTTCAAAAATTCAAGAACAAAAAGGGGTTAAGGGTTTCTTGAATTTGAAGTTATGTTTGTGTAGCATAGTTGTGATGTGTGGTTGCCCCTTTCTAAATGTGATTTGAGCTCTACTTTTTTATGGAAGAGAGGACCAATATCAAGAGGCAAGGAAAGCATTAGAGGAAAGGTAGCAAGATTTAATTAACTTTAATATTAATTGTTGCATTGATTGCTATGCAATTTCATGTGCTATTATGTAGTTGAGCTAAATGATGATGATGATGATTGTATAGCTATTCTCCTTGCTTTAAGTGTCTTAGCTATTGCATTTTAGAGTGCTACATGTATGAGGTTAAGTAGTTTCCTATTAATAGCAAAATGTTGGAATGTTTGTAATTGATGCATGCTTGATGTTATAGTCGATTTTCTCTTACTACTGGAATTTCTTTGAAATCTCACTCCTTCCAAATATAACTTCTTTTCATAGAGGCTGAACCATCAAGAAGAAGGGAGTAATTTGAGAAAGCTCATGTTATATGCATGTTGAATTATGGTTTCACTTTGGAAATTGTATTGAAGTTTATGATGCCGTAACTTTGTTAAGGCAGTGAGTTTGTGACTCTGTTTTGAATGTGTTATCTACCTTGTATGATCATGATATTTAGCACAATTAAAGCTCACTCCATGAGCTTAATATTGATAGGTAGCACGTTTTGAATGGATGTGTGTACAATTTTTGGTGATTTTTCAAAGTTAGGATTAAAGTCCTGGAAAATAGTTTTTACCAATTGGAACAGTGGCAACTTCCACAAAAATCTGGCATTGATCCTTAAAAAATTGGTCATGAGATTATTTTTTCTTGAAATGGAGTTCAAAGAGCTTTTCATAGGATTTTGAAGCACTCCGTTTTGATTTTTCTAGATTTAGTTACGGATTTTCAAAGTTGGATAGAAAATCTGGATTTACCCAGTAAACAGTATTTTTATGAAACCAGCGTCCAAGTTACGAAATTTTGAGTTTAAGACCATCCAAAGTGGTCAGAATTGGTTCTAATTGGACTCTAAGATATACTAGAAGTAAGGAGTGACATGATGTTTATCCCCTCATTTGAAATTAACAATTTATAATCATTTCTTTGTATATATGCAACCATTCCAACATTTTCATAAATCATTCTCATAAATCATCATGCCCAATCTTACATGCCATTTTTATTTTTTATTATTACATAACATTACTTGGCATGTCTAATCATACATCAACATAAAAAGAAGTCATTACATGACATAACATAACGTAAGAACATTTCTTCAATTCTCCTTTTTATTCTCTTGATTCATATCTTGCATTCTTCTTCCATGCTCAATATACATATTATGGTTGGTTAAGGGGAAGGTGAGATTGTAAGGAATTGAAAGAAACGCAACGGAAAATAAAAACTTTAAAATTTTTAATCCCTTGCCCGGATCTACCGATTGTGTTTAAGTCAAGTGGTAAGAGGTGTTACCTGCAGTATTCGAATCGTTGGTAGCTCAGGGTTTCCGACGTTCGAGATGCCTATGCTCCCCCTTTTGTTCGTAAGAAGTTGACAACTCAGATTGGCTTCCTCTACCGGTATCCACACGAACAGCATTCCAATCACAAACGACGTGCTAGCGCCTCTTGTCCTTTTAGGTTTTTTGAGAATCTGTCCTCACCGTCTCTCTTTTGGCCGTTTCTTATCTGCAAACCTTTTGCACTCTCATCCACCCAAAACCCTAGCTCTTAATTTGAAATATATAGGATGCCATCGGTATTATGAAGGATATTGGATTTCAGAATTAATCCTAAATTAATTCTGAAATTAATACAATATTATATATTGCGTAATCTAATAAGAAATCAATTAAATAAATAAGGTTTGTATATTAAATCCGTCCTACAGATTTAATTCACCTTTTCATTTAATTCAAAATAAAGATATAACAGAATTATATTTGATTTATTCTAATAAATCAAATTTGAGATATTATACCTTATTAATTTAAAAAATGATATAGATTTAATTTAT